ACGATTGCAAGACAATTGTTGCCGCGCCAGCTTTGCTCCAAGGAACGTGCGCGACCAACCGAAGTATATTCAGCAGCACATGATATACCACGCACTGACTCAACCTGCGGAATTCAGAAGTTACATGACCTGGTCGGATCTTACATACAAGGACGAGTTGCGTGTGCCGGCCTATATACTAATAACATAGCATGCATATTAGGATGCGGGCCAGCGCCCCATGCAATTTCAAGCTTCGATCGCACCAATCATCGGAGTTCAAATGATCATTCATACTGCATTTGATTGCATAGATTAGATCGGCCAACCTATAACGTATATGTCGACGTCCCACATTGCTCAATCTCCTGAATACGAGTCGTCATTGGCTTCCAACATACATATGAAGATTGCAACTGCTTCTTTGTGACCGTGAATAGTTGGAGAGTCAGCAACATCATGCTTGTTGTGTGCTCAACCTTTTCCTGAGCTCCGCAACGAGTTCGCCCTCTTTCACGTTCTCTTGCACTCCCGCCTTTAGGTCCTTGATAGCCACAATGCCCTGTGCAAGCTCGGTCTCTCCAAAAATGACCTGCAAACGAGAATGTTCTGTGTTTCTCAGGCATCTTGACTGCCAGAGTTTGCACGAACCAAGACACCTCTCTTGCGGAGAAGCTTCTAACACCGCAACAACATGCTGCATGCAGGCTTCTACAAGATCACCAATCGGTCAGCCAGACATATTAGATCCATCGTCGGGAATTAGGCGCACCATCGCTTCACAGACTGCCACTTTCACATCTGTGGCAAATGCCGCAAACACCGAAACTCTTAAATGTGCAAACAATGACACAAGCATGCGCCAGAGTTTTCATGGCAGCCCAATCTACTTGGATCCGCACATCTGGACGCCTGTTTACGAGTCAAAATCATTCCCTTGCAACCAACGAAGTGTGCTCCATGCAATCGTCCCAAAGTAAATCTCGCGCCCTAGCACTCACCATGAAGGGGATCCCCTCCTCCAGCGCGTACGTCAGCTGCTTATCCATGTTGGGCTTGGGCTGCGCCAGGAACTCCGCCTTTACGCCCGCCTCCCACAGACGCGTACACAGCTCCATGCGCTTGATCAACAAGTTGGGGCCGATGCTGGCCACCAGCACCTGTGTCAAAAAGGTACATCGAAATATGAGTCAGCTCCGCACTAGTGCGGAATACAAAGTTCATCGTCCGGATCGGCCCCCATCTCTTTCCGCATCTTTGCTTCGCAACTTGTAAGCAGTGACGAAAAGGGACATGAAAAAGAAAAATTGGCATCTGCATCCATGGCATGCCGCCAAAGGTATGGGGTTTGCCTGTGTCTTAGAAAGGTTGCTTGGGAGAGAAGTCCCTCGCGCCACTGCAAAAGGCAGGGTTCAGTCCTCAAAAATGGCCCCCACCATCTTCGTCCGCATCTTTATTCTAGAGTTGTAGACTGCGACTACCTCCCTGACAACCTGCATCCCGAATTTCAGAAACTTCTGAAGCTTCGCCTTCTTTCCACAGTCTTTTATCAAAGAAGGCCAAGTCTCTCCAGCGCCCCGTAGAAAACCAAGCGAACCAAAACACGACATAGGGATTGAGCCAAAGGGTCAAGCTGAGGAGTCTTCTCGAAGACTTGACCAAGTATCTGTCCAAGGACTCTCCTTGGCTCCCTACCTCCGTCTGCGTTTTGCGCAGCATCGTCTTCGTTTGGCACATCCCCCACAGGTTGCAACCTTATATCTAGACAAACTTCAGCCGAGAGACTCGCGTCGTCTCTCACATCCGTTTGCTCTTGCGCAGCGTCTAGTTTCAATCAAAGTCACAAATTCGCAACTCCCCAATCCGAAAGCTCTGAAATTCAAAGATGTATCTTCGTTCCCCACCTCCGTCTGCGTCTTGCGAAGTGTCGTCTTGGCGCGCTCCGCCTCCGCGCGCGCCTGCTCCTCCATGATGGCAAACACGCGCTCAATCCCGAGGCTGACCCCCACCGCGGGCACGTTCTTTCCGCTGAACATGCCCACCAGGCCGTCGTAGCGTCCCCCCGCCGCGATGGACCCCACCTGGGACGCGCCCTTGAACACCGCCTCGTAAATGACGCCCGTGTAGTAGTCGAGACCGCGTGCCAGGCTGCAAGGGGATTTTTTTTTTTTTTTTGTGAGACTCAATGGGGTTTTTGTGGAGGTTTAATGTAGGTGTTTATAACCTGCCTGGAGAGGCCGCATGCGAGGGTGAAAAGGGGGATGATTGGAGTCAAATCTGTAGGTTCCTTGGCTTTTCTTGAGCGTCTGATGTTGCAGATTGATGGTTCGCCCGTAGGTAGCAGTCGAGACCGCGCGCCAGGCTGCGGGGGGAATAAAAACATCAGGTAAAACTCAAATGGGTTTTTGTGAAGCTTTAATGTACACTTTTATAAGCTGCCTGGAGAGGCCGCGTGCGACGCTGAAAAGGGGGATAACTGAAGTCAGATTTTGTAGGTTCCTTGGCTTTTCTCGAGCGTCTGATGTTGCAAATTGATGGTTCGCCCGTAGGTAGTAGTCGAGACCGCGCGCCAGGCTGCGGGAGGTATAAAAACATCAGGTAAAACTCAAATGGGTTTTTGTGAAGCTTTAATGTACACTTCTATAAGCTGCCTAGAGAGGCCGCGTGCGATGCTGAAAAGGGGGATAACTGAAGTCAGATTTTGCAGGTTCCTTGGCTTTTCGTGAGCGTCTGAAGTTGCGGATTGATGGTTCGCCTGTTTAGTAGTCGAGACCGCGTGCCAGGCTGCAAGGAGTGAATGGAAGTCTTGTTTTGAGGTTCCTCGGAATTCCGTGATGATCGGTTTACACAATTCCGTTGTCTGCCCCAGGTGCTCTTCGAAGCCGCACGCGAGGCTGCGAGGGCAATTGAAGGATGCACTTCGTTCGAGACTTTTGTATTTACAGTTAGTAGTTCGTTAGTCATGAAAGAAACAGACTCTCGCCTTCTCAAAAAGAAAGGAGAGTCTTCAATAAGCTGAAGGCAAAACCCTTCAAGAACAGGTGTCGTTCCCGCATATTAGTGTTGCCAGATGCTTGCAATTTGGCACATTCAGAGCAAAAGCTGGCACATGTAGATTTCAAACTCATTATACAGGCATGAAAGCTGGACTCACTGGCCATGATTCAGCGTACAAAGAGTATATGTCGAGAGTCTGGGCCAACATTTCATGCGTCAATTAAGCTCACAAATATGCTGGTTGCGGCACGGCACCAGCTACATAAACGATCCAACGTCAAAGACTGTGCTCATTGTCATAGACCGACACCGCGAGAGGAGAACCGGCGGTTTGACAGCAGATCATTGAATCGCAATGGAACGGGTCCCTACCTGAGGTCGAAGCTAATGCGTTTCAGCGCCCCCATGGCTCCCAGATACTCAAACAGCAGCGCCAGGTCTGCGAGCGCCTCCTGCGCCGCGGCGTGCCCGGAAAACCCGCTAGAGGGCCCCTGAAGTTCTTGAAGGAGCGCCAACGGTTCACCCTTGAGGCGCACGAACGGCTCGATCTTGTCGGCGGCCTCGGGGGCCAGTCCCTTGTCGTCCACCATTTCGGCGCGCACGTCAGCCCAGTCTTCCTGCACGTGGACAAAGGGCGATTTAGTAAAGTTGGTTTGTGGTTGGTGAAAGAGTAACCTTCCTTTGTGCGACCGCTCAACCAAGGCTTTAGTTAGTTCAGTATCAAAATCGCAGGCAAAGCAGGTTTCGTATTGGTATCGAGTAAGAGCCGTTCTTGCCAGGAACGTGAGAATACTGGTTCAGCATTAATACAGGTGGAGGACGGCTGCAGCCCGAAGCCAAAACTTCCACGCCGATGAACGAAAGTAACAGCATGTAGAACACCTGAACAGCCACGGTCGCATTGCTTCAGGGGTCCGCAATCCTGCAAGCTCATGTTTCGACCTGGCCCAGAAGCGTTTCTTAAAATGTCCAGATCGGGGTTGCCAAAACATTAAATCAACGCAGGAGCCAGCACTAATGACAATTGGACGGGCAGCAGATAAGGAAACGACCTTCTGGACGCCTCGCAATCGAAGTGCCTTTTCTCACCACGACTCCTGACGACTTTCGTCTCTAATTGTGTGTCCGTACCTTGTCGAGCTTATCGATGGCGGAGCAGATGGGGCGGAACTTCTCGGCGGGCACTCCACAGATGTCCAGCATGGCGTCCAGCAACTTCCGGTGATTCAGCTTGATCTGCAGTGGAAAAGGAGCGCCGTAATTGAATCAAGGCCGGCCTAGCAGAAAAGTTTGCAGACGCACTTGGTGACATTAGGGCAACACAGGGTGGGGTAATCGACAAGCCGCAGCGGCCGTACATTGATTGGAACCTACTCAGAAATTAAAGAACTTCGACTCGAGCAAACAATACTCCGCGTTCGCATAAACTCGCACAGTCGTTGCAACCTTGTAATGTTCGAATGCATCAATGACGAGCTGATTTAAGGTCACAAAACGAGATTGAAATATAGACCGGTTGTGCCAACAGTAATTGAACCGTTTCCAGACAGCCCACGCTTGTTCAGAAAAACCTAGTCACGGTCTCCTAAAGGGCTGGGCTTGTGGCGTGATACAAACAGCTTCGCGTCTCAAACCCACCTCGTAGTCCCCAATCTTCAGATCGTCCAAAATCTCCGTCGACACTTTGAGCACCTCCGCATCCGGGACCATCGGCGCATATTCCCCGGCAATGTCGAAGTCGCACTGGTAAAACTCGCGGTAGCGGCCGCGCGCCATTTGCGGCTGGTCCCGCCGGTAGACCCGCGCGATGTGGTACCGCTTCATCTTGGCGATGTTGTGCATCGCAACGTAGCGCGCAAAGGGGACCGTCAGGTCGTAGCGCAGGGACAGGATCTCGCCGCCCTGCATAGACGACACAGTGAGACTTAGTTCCGCTCTGCGATCAGAAGCAATCCAGCGCAGCATCTTCTTGTTTCATCTTGTCCATGTTGTGCATTATTGCACATTTGGCCAAACCTGGCCGCCTGACCCAATTCCGATTGGGGACCGATCGCAGAACTTGCCCGATGCGCAGAACTTAAGACCCTTCGATGATCTAAATTTGCCCTTCATCGAACGGCCCAAGTTCTGCAAAACCTGGCCGGTGAGTCCGGTCAGAGCTGATTGTAAAAACTT